ACATATATATATATATATATATAGATATATTTACCAGATAAAAGTTTATCGACGGTTGCACTAAGACGTGTATTATGCTCCTCGTTCATTTTAAGTCGTTGATTAACACGCATCACTTCCGCATTCTTTTCTTCTAATTGTGTCTCCAGTCTTTGTATTCTATCTTCAGCGCTACCATGCCTCTCTTGAGCCTGCTTAAATATTTTATATAATTTTAATTATTTATAATATTACTAATTTCTATTAAGAAATAATATATCTAATTTTATGAAAAGAAATAAAAGAAAATAGAGACTCTTGATCTCAAAATCAAGAGGGTGGCAATACTTTAATTTTATTATAATTAATTATAATTTCAAAACTTTATATTAAAACTTGCATGTTCAGAGTGAATTGCTTTTTATTTAACTCTTTTCCTTGTATTTATTATCTGACTTGAAATAAGTATTCTATAAACTAATTCAGTCTTCGAAATTACTTGCAATTCCTTGGCGAGCGTTACATCTTCTTTCTTTCTCTTACTTCTTCAATTTACTTGGCAAGTCCTACAATTAATTATCGTAAAACTTAGCCTCAGAAATGTTATATTTCTTTGTCCTCTATACATGTTATTTTATATTATATTATTAATCCAAAAAAATTAGAAGGACAATGAAAGAGCCAAACGCCAAATATTGGAGCGGAAACAAAAAATTTTTTAATTGAATAATAAGAAATCACAATAAACAATACTCAATTAAAAAATATATTGACAAATCAAACGTTTCGGTTCTCGGTTTGGACCCTCTTCAGTGAATTTATACAGTACAAAAATTTATTAAATATATCAGCACAACTTACAAGGGGAACCCGGCAGTCTCTGATCACCGATTTGAATAAAATTTTATGGGTGTGTAGTATGCACTCATACATTTATTCCTGTAAAGCCGTAGGACCCACTATTGAGGCATTCTCGAGAAATATTTTTTTTAATATTTCGAGAAAATTTTTTGTCCGTATAGTACCGTTACGGAAAAGCAACCTTCGAGCTAATAGCGTAGCGTCCACCGTAAGACGTAGACTACTACGCTCATGGTTGCAGGTTCGATTCCCTGAATGATTTTTTTTTTTT